TTTATTTTGGAAATTGCATTTTGGTCTATAAGAAATAAAAGTAATTTACATTTATTTCTGGAGATTAACTTTTAAACACTCTGAGCATCACTCTATGACTTTTGTAGCAAAATGTCACAGCAGTTTCAGATTCCAGACATGTGTGCTTCTATTAGCAACTAAAAACAGTGAATTAACTTACGGACATTCTTAAATATATGGAACTTTTATTCATAGGGTTATTATTTTAAAAATTGAAAGTTAAATTTATAATAACATAATTCAGTCTAATATTTTGGATCCTATTTATCCTTTATCTCTGTGTATATAAATAATCTTGATATTTTCTACAGTACTCCGAAAAAGTGGCTTCTAATGAGTCTCCTTCCATCAATACACCCCTCACGGATTATATTAAGATTCCAAGATCAGTTGCATATTGGTGTCCTCTGTTACCAGAGAATTCCTACAATTATCGATGCCCCATAACACTCCAGAAAATGAAGCTGATTGTAGCACTACTGGAAATCAAGCACTGATTCTATAGGATACCTTTGCTTTCTGTCTCCAGATATCCAAACCAGGGTCCAAGTTAGAGAGTTGGGGGATTAATGGGCTGGAAACATGAGGAAGTGCTAAAAAGTAGGGAGATGTAAATGGAGGGGTTGATAGCTACAGACAAAGATTCAAGGTGTGAACATCTCCATATAAGGTAAGGGTCTCAGGTATTCCTCCTTCCATTTCTGGCACAGAGAAATAAGTATATGTTTCAGAAGGAACCAAAGTTTCTCACAAAGAGCTAGTATGCTTCGAATACCAGTTCTTTGAGGTGCTGAAGCATGCCCTCAAGCAGTTGCTAGCTCTTCTAGGTACTATTTGGCAGTTTTGATGGTAACAGAGAAGAAAGTAAGATACTAGGAAAGAGAACCTTAATTTCCCTGAAAGGGTGTGTTCCTGGTGCAGAAATGCAGTAAGTCTGAAATGGCCCAGTAGGTAGAGCAGTTGCAACATTAATGAAAATGCTAAGAGTATCCCATTGATATGTGTATTTAATCACTAGGATGTGGTAGGCAGGTTACAGATACAATCAGGTTGCTGAGGGACTCGAAAAGAATAAGAGGTGACTTCTGATACCAAGGAAGATGGAGTAGACATACCCTGGACATTGAACACAACAAACATAAGAAGACTGAGAGGTGGAAAAAAAAAAAGCAGATCAGCTAGGGTTCTTTAAACCCAAGGAATGAGACAGCGGTGAGTTCTCGCATTTCCTTTTTGCTTCATATATTCCAGATTTGGAGCTGCAGAAGCTGGAACTGAAAATGCCAATGGGTGCAGATAAAAACAGCCCCAACAAAAGTCTGCTCCCTCTAGTCAAAGGACAAAGAAAGGGGCAACTTAGCAAGATAGAAAACTTTTAGGTAATAATCCCTCTACTCCAGCCAAACACCACAGAAAAAATTACGGCCCTATCCCCACCCATGCCAGCAAAGGCCGAGTGGGGAGCCGAGCCTTCCACCTTCAAGAGGCTGTAATGAGGCGCCCAACACCACCAGTGAGGTAGTATCAGAGAAGGCCAAGTCGGGAGTCGGGAATTCCGTCTCCATAGACCAGTAACAAGGCCCCATTCTCTGCCACTGTGTCGGAGGAGACTGTGTAAACAGCCTGGACTTCCACTCTGACCCAACAGCAACAAGCTGCTTCTCCTCTTCCCACTGAGGGTGATGTCAAAGGAGGCCTAGTGTAGAGGCAGAACTTTCACCATTGCCAAGCAGTAATGAGGGCACCCCATTGCAGTGTGAGTAGAGACCACATGGGAAATTAAGAACTCCCAATCCCACCCAGCAGTAATGCGGAGCCCCCGACCTCACTGTGTGAGGAACCTGGACTTCTACTTCCACCTGGCAATAATGAGGAAGCACCTTTCCTTCTTCCGGCAGAACAGAGTCAGAGAAAGCCAGCTAAAACAGAAACTTGAAACAAGATTCAGAGTCTCATAACATAAGATGAAAATGTCTAGGTTTCAATAGAAAATCACTCATCACACAAAGAACTGGGGAAGATCTCAAAATGAATTTTTTTTTTTTTGTGAGGAAGATCAGCCCTGAGCTAACATCCATGCCAATCTTCCTCTTTTTGCTGAGGAAGACTGGCCCTGGGCTAACATCAGTGCCCATCTTCCTCCACTTTATGTGGGACGCCGCCACAGCATGGCCTGACAAGCGGTGTGCCAGTGCGCACCCGGGATCCGAACCCAGGCCGCCAGCAGTGGAGCACATGCACTTAACTGCTACGCCATGGGGCTGGCCCCTCAAAATGAATTTTTTTAAAAATATAATTAATAGATATCAACACCAAGACGAAAAATGTTAGAATTATCTGAGAAAGGTTTTAAAGCATGGGTGATAAAAATGCTTCAATCAGCAATTATAACATGCTGGAAATGAATGAAAAATAGCATGTGCAAAGAAATACAAAATCTTAGCCACAAAAAAAAAGAAAAAACAAATGGAAATTTTATAACTGAAAAATACATTAACCAAAATATAAATTTTAGTGGATGCACTCAACAGGAAAATGGAAGGGCAGAGGAAAGAATCAATGAACTAGAGGATATAACAGAAGAAATTATTCAATCTGAACAACAGAGAGAAAATCAACAGGAAAAAAATGAACAGAGCCTCAGGGATCTGGGGGTTGATAACAAAGGATCTAACATTTGTGTCATCAGAGTTCAGAAGGACAGGAGAAAGAAGGCAAGTCTAAAAAAGTACTCAAAGAAATAACAACTGAAAACTTTCCAAATTTGGCAAGAAACATAAACCTACATTTTTTAACAAGCTGAACAAATCCCAAACAGGATAAATCCAAAGAAATTCACACCAAAATATATCATAATTAAACTCTGAACAGTGAAGATGAAAAAAAACTATCTTGAAAGCAGCCAGATAAAAATGACACTTTACCTAGAGGGGACAAGCCATGTGAATGAAGTGGAGTTCTCATCAAAAGCCAGCCAGGCCAGAAGGAAGTGGCACAATATTTTTTAGGTGCTAAAAGAAAAGAACTGTCAACCCAGAATCATATGCCCAGTGAAAATATCTTTTAGGAATGAAGGGGAAATCAAGAGATTCTCAGACGAAGGAAAATTAGAAGAACCTGTCACCAGTAAGGTTACCCAAAATAATGGATAAAGGAGATTCTCTAAAAGGAAAGAAAACAATGAAAGACAGAACCTTGGAATACCAGAAAAAAATAAAGAACATGGTAAGCAAAATTATGCATAAATACAATAAGCTTTCCTTCTCCCTTTGAGTTTTCTAAATGATGTTTGATAGTGAAGCAAAAATTATAACACTGTCTAATTAGGTTCTAAGAAATATTTATGACAATTATATCATAAACAGAGGAAAGTAAAGGGATGTTAAGGGAGGTAATGTTCCTACACATCACACAAACTGGTAGTGATACTAGCAGATTGTGATAAGTTATGTATGTATAATCTAATACCTAGAACAACCACTAAACAAGATATACAAATGAATACACTTAAAAACAATATAGAAAACTCAAAATGTCATTCCAGAAAATATTCAAGTAACCCACATGAAAGCAAGAAAAAGTAAATAGAGAGATAAAAAACAGAACAGAAAACAAAACACAAAACAATAGGCTGAAGCCCTAAAATATCAATAATTACATTAAATTTAAATGATCTGACTATACTAATTAACACATAAGAGGGGAGAGCAGATTAAAAACCATAAACCAACTACATGTTACTTACAAGAAACTGACTTCAAATATAATGATATAGGCATGTTGGATGCAAAAGGATGGAAAAAGATATGTCAAAAACGTGGCTTCTTTAAGGCCATGATAGCTTTGCATTAATGAAAATTTTATACTATTTCTTCATGAAGAGGGTTAGGGTATGAAAGAGTTATAAGGCCTGAAGATTCCTCCCACAAGGTGGCAACTAAGAATTTGCAGAGAGGCTCAGAAAATGAGTTTAATGACTTAACAGTAAAAAAAGAGCTGCAGGCAGCACCACATAAGAACAGTTTGCTTGCTTTTGTATCTAAAAATACATATGTGGCATACTTGTCTAACATTCTAGGTTATGGCAGTGGTGGTGGTCAACAAACTGATATAGTATGGGGCCAAATAAAGGCAGAGCAGCCAAGATTTTTAAGGATGTAGGATGGTATGGACCTATTAGTCTCTTGTGGAATTTACCATGCTAAGCTCAGTAGAAATGGTCTCCTAGCTTACTGGTCTTCCCAACCAGAGGGCATCAGGCAGGGGCACTTTGGGATAAGTGCACAGCTATCCCTAATCCATGATGCAGCCTGTTGCTCCAGGATTTATCAGTACCTGAATCTGGAGGCATTGCCCACTATTCTTATACGCAAGATCAAGTGACAGGCAAGGTAAAGGGGTTAATCCCTGTCCAATTCTTCTCTAGCTACTCACTGCTGGGCTGGATAGATCTCAAACCATGGGCATAGTTTCCCTATGGGCCAGGCATCCAATAAATAAGTAGCCTGCCTGACATGTTCTATGTGAAGCTCTCTAACTTGATGGGGAACAGGTGAGGGATTTAATCAAAAGCATGGCTCCCCTAAGCCTTCAGTGTTGGCAGAAGGTCAATGCTTCCTCCCCAGTCCTCCGGCCTTTCTCTAAGGCTTATCAAACGAGAAACAGTAGGGAGGTCTATAGTTTTGGCAAGACCTCCACATTGTATTGTGACCATCAAAGCAGAGGTGCATCCTTAAACTCAGTGAAAATTCCTCTAGATATTTAATAAAGTGTAGATTTTTTTTCTTACTTAGTATTTGACCTAAATGTTTTCTATTTCCTTTCCAGAAAGTGTATTATGCTTAGTTCCTTTTCATCTGTGAGAAAAAAATTAATGAATACCAATTCTATCAAACCTTTACACCCACAGAAAAGTATCTTTCTCCTGACATTGCAGAGAGGACGGGGGAAATCATTTTGTTGGATAATTTCACTCTTACCTGCAAAGTGCTAATGTGCACAGGAGTCCCTGTACCATTCATGGTATTCTTTTTAGCTGCATTTCCACCTTTCCCATCTGCTTGCTCAGCCTTAGCAATTCTGGCTTTTTCTGCTTCAACTCGTTTGGGGTTATTCAACATCACCTGGACAACAGCGTACTCCACCAGTGAAGCAAACCCAAAGAGAAGACAAGCAATGAGCCATACATCAAGAGCCTTCACGTAGGATACTTTGGGAAGTTCAGCAGCAAGGGTTGTGCATTCAGAGGCCAAGCTGAGGACTGAGAAGATACCTACAGAAACAGAAATAGGCATTAAAGTTGCTTTTTACAAAACCCTGTGAAACGTTCTGTAATCATTACTCTTTGTCTAAATTCCTCTCCAGTAACTTCCAATGGGCCATAAACAATTCATCAGGTCCCTTTAAAGCTCAAAGAGTAGAAGAAATAATATGTACCTATTTTTATGCAAGGATTATTGAATGTGGTTGGGGATGTTTGTAAATAGTATTAAAAAATAAATAAATAGAAATTTAAACCAAAGTATAAAAACAAAATTTGCATCTGGCTTAAACATTAAAGATATCTAAAACTATTCTATAGTATCTCTGAGGAAGCCACAAAGTTGTCAGATTAGAGAGGGTTATTTCATTTTTCAGCTTTATTTTCTATAGTTAAACAGCTGAACTTTACCCCGTGAACAACTAAATCAGAACAAGAATAGAACATATAAAGCCCTTTTCTGATAAGGTTTACAATTTTTAAAATCTCCTAGAGAAGACAAAGTAGAGAACATGCCTGATTATTTCAGGGAAAACAAATGATTCCAGCTTTTCAAGAACAGAATAAAATTTTACTATATATAATATTAACCGTATATGGAAAGCTAACCAGTTACATATCAATTTAAGTCAAATAATCGTAAAATCCCAAAAGAGAGTTGCAATAATTTATCTCCCTCTTTCTACTCCCTCTTGCCACACTCTCTTCCTTCATGTTTTCAGAAGAGGGGATGGGGAAACATGACCTGTTGGCACAGACTACCAGTAACACACTAGGTCAGAAAGAATCTCTCACAATGTCAAGGGAGCCTCACTTTAAGTCAAGTAGGAAAACAGGTTTGCCTTGGCTCTGTGAGTCCATTTCACTTATGGGGCCAATTGCACCTTTTTCTTCTTGGATTTGATCACCTCTGAGAATAATGAATGCGTTACCATAATAACTAAAGATGTACTTGGCTCTCTTTTCCCTTCCCTTGAAATGGGAAGCACCATATTAGAATTAATAATCAGTTAAAACATTGAAAAAATATATTCCATCAGCTGCATCATTTCAGAGGCTTCTGGAAGGTGTCGTCTTTTTTTTTTTTTTTAACTACTCAAGAGCTAAGAGACTACTAGAAAGAAAGGCTTTTAGCAAAATATAATGACTTCTGCAGATGGAAACAATATTACTTAGATATATAACGACTTGATAGGCATCTAATTTACTATCACAGTAATTATCCTCAGTCCTAAGGAAAACTAAGAACTAATTAATAGGACTCTATTTTTAAAGTTACTATAGGTCCTAATGTTTTCTAATTTGGAAGTGAGAAGTAACATAAAATCCAAGATCTTATCAATTATTGCCCTAGACTACAGTTAATTACACTTACGAGCATTAATTTGGCAAAACATCTTTCCAAGTCAATTTTTCTATTCTTAATCAAATGTTATGTGTCAACCTAACAATCAAAAATCAGGCCTTAATTAATTCCTTGAGATAGACTATATTGACACCATTCTGTGTTTCCATAGCATTTCATGCTCATCAATAATATAGAACGTATCCGATTGTAGTAAACTTAGTATATACCTGAACTTTATCCTGATACATTACAAATTTTATGACAAAATGGAGAATAGTGTCAGATTATAGAAGGCCTTGAAAGTCCTAGAATGAATTTACCATACTTAGAGAATATTAAGAAGCTTTCAGTTGGGGGGAAGAAAAATGACATTATCAAAAGAATGTTTAAATAACATTACTCTGGTAGGGATATACAAAATAGACTGAAAAAGGAAAAACTGTAGTTGCAGAAACAAAGCATAAGGAAATGAAAAGGATAGCATCAATGTGAAAGGATTTTGGAGAAAACATTTCAAAAGACTTGATTACTGACTAAAGGAAGAAGGAAAAGATTGAGACAAAGATCTGAACAGAATGACTGGAAAAATACCCTTGAAAGATGGGAAGAGGAGACTATAGACAAGATGATGATTTTAGTATGAAAACACTGAGGTAGGTTAAAGACCAAGAAACATACAACTGATGACCATGACACAACACAGAGCACTTGAGAACTTTTTTAAAAAGAAAGATTAGTCAATAACATTCAGATGGAGGTCAAGTTGAAAACGGAGAAGACTTTAAGAGGTAAAGATGTTCAAGTGTCAGAAAAAGGGGATCAAAGAAACAGAGAAGGGACTGCCTTTTAAAAGGAAGGATATGACATTAATGGATTTTTTGGGGAAAGGAGAGATATTCTAGGCATTACGTTACAAACCATGCTGGTCAATCCTATTAAGATTTTTATCATTTCAAAGATGTAAGAATAGAAATGGAGATAAGTTAAGGAGGAGAAGATGTAAACATCTTCTGGAAATCATGTGCCTTATCTTCAGGAAATCATATTAAAATAGGAAATATCCACTTTTTTTTATCCTAAAATAAGAAATCTGAGCAAATAATATTGCTTTGGACAAATATTATAGCATTATCTTAATATATAGCCTTCAAATGGGATTACTTCCTTGTTAAATAGGGCATAGTGAAATTATGCCTGAATTGTAATAAATTATAAACCAATAAAAAGACATATGAAACCCATCATTCATAAAAATGTAGATTTTTAGAATTTTAATATTGTATTATTAATAAATTGTCCTCATTTAATGGAGCTCCTCTCTAATAAATTGCAGTACTTGTTGGTACAATATTTCTAAAACATGTTTAAAATATGTAGACCTTATTTGTCACAATTGCCCCTCCATAATGTAAAAATAAATCAAGTCTAGATTTCAAATCAGGGAAACTGTCTTAAAATTGATATCAATTCTTATAAATAGATGTGGGGTCTATATCTATCAAAAGTTAAAGCTGGGGCTGGCCCCATGGCGTAGTGGTTGCGTGCTCTACTTCAGCGGTCGGGGGTTCTCAGGTTTGGATCCCGGGTGCAGACCTATACACCACTCATCAGGCCATGCTGTAGCGGGGGCATCCCACATACAAAACAGAGGAAGATGGGCACGGGTGTTATCTCAGGGCTGATCTTCCTCAGCAAAAAGAGGAAAATTGGCAATGGATGTTAGCTCAGGAACAATCTTCCTCACACACACACAAAAAAGTTAAAGCTAACAAATAATGTAAATTAGAGTATTAACAGATTAGCTATATAAAAAGTTTGAACTGAACAAAAACCTGTAACAACAATTTAGGGTGAAAGAAAACATTATTTAGCTAATCAATACGAAGAATTTTACAGTGATAAAATCATCTCAATTATTCAAAAGACCACTATTTATAGTGAACTCTATGATTGACTATGGGATGCCCAGTGATTTCTTGTTTAGCTAATCTCAGAGGAGGAATCTGCAGAATAATTCATAGCATATACACTAGCAACGTATTAATGACAAGAGAAAGACCAAAACTAGAAAATAAAAAAGGAAAGAAAGAAAAAGAGGGTGAAAAAAGGAAAAGAAATGGAAAGTAGAGATAGTATGGCATTTGTTGTTAATAACAAGTATCATGAACCAATACAGAAGGTCACGGAATAACCGCAAGTGTGCACATACCAACTACTGTCTAAACTCCAGACAATTCTTATCGCATACTGAGATAAACTATTTACCAGATAGCATATATGGAATTGTGGTTAATAAAATGAAAATTCATTTAGAAGTACTACTAAATTATATTAGCATGTTATCATTTGATAACATTTTAATCAAAGGATACTAAAAAGACAACTATTACTATCATGTGGAAATCCAAAAATATTTATTGACATTTTTGAAAGAGGTCCTTATAATCCTTGAACTACTGCTCCAGATGATAAGAAAAGAACATAATAAGAAAGGTATGTATGCGTGGTCTACTAGAGGTCTGAATTGTGACCTGAATTATTAATCTTTTTACATTTATGACTAAAGGTTATTTGTTAAAAAAAATTCCCTTTTAGCAGCAACTAAAGTATTTTATGTATCAGGAAAATGGAGTGTGATAGCATAGTTTACTTAGAGTATTACAAAAAGTTACTTTCATAGTTACTGTTGTAGTTACTTCCATACTTAGAGAAATAGCTACAGACAAAAAGTCTTTACCCAAAATTCATAGAGGAAGCTTTGATGTTTGTTAACAATGGAGAAAGTAAATTAAAAAGAGACTGAGGGAAAAATAAAACTGATTTTTTAAAAAAAGCAAAATGAGTCTAGGGTAAATTATGTCATGCTATATGTTTTTCTCCTAACTTCTAGAAAATAAAAATTATAGGCCATAAAAGGAAGAGATTGACAAACTGACTTTTTTTAATCCTTTGGAACAATATAGGGGAAAAAAGATAGAAAAAAGAAAGATATGATGAGTCAAAATAGCTATATCAACTGAATATCTTGAAATTTAATGTCAGTAATATGATTTTTTTAGATAAAATTATAAATATGTATAAATCTAATAAGAGAGTTTCAAAATACCTAAGCAATAATTCCATAAACATAGTTTCAGATTTTAAGAACTCTCTCACCAATAGCTATAATAATAAGTAGACAAAAGACATAAAGGATTTCAACAACACTATCAACTTGACTCCACTGATATTTACAGAACAATACACTCAATAACGACAAATATACATTGCAAGTACAGATGGTCTGGTTACCAGGAGGCATATTGTGGTCTAGGCCATTAAAAAAAGTCTCAACAAACAAAGGATTAAAATCATACAGTTTATTCTCTGACAAAATTAGAAAGCAATCATATTCAGGTACTTATGAAAATCCTAAATATTTGGGAATCAAGCAAATCCATGGGCAAAAGAAGTCACAAGAGAAATGAGAAAATATTTTTAACTGAAAGAAGATGAAAATACAATATATCAAAATTTGTACATTTCAGCTAAAGCAGCGCTTCCAGGGAAATTTTTAACTTTAAATGCTCATATTAGAAAAGAAGAAAGATCTAAAATCAGTTATCTGAGTTCCCACTTTAAGCATCAAAAAGAGATCAAATTAAATCCAAACTAAGTAAAAAGA